ATTTAAAATCCACACCAAGTGGCTGTCAGAGAAGCTGCAGTTTAGAGCTTTAAGGCAAGTCAAGGCAAGTTGAACAGAATGTGCAGTGCAAATTAAGCAGATAAGTTGATAAACCTCTTGTCGGCATCATTTTGCATACATATGTTGTTTGCACTGAAACTCTATTTTGTTTCGCTTGTTTGCCTTTAAACTGACAAAGATTGTTTCGTGTAAGATTACTTAGTTGTTTTTTTTTTTTTTTTTAGCTGCATTGCCTTTCTGCACAGTTAACAAGTGTAAATTTTCAATTTAAATGCAAGCAAACAGCTTTTGATTACGTTGACGCCCAAGAGCCAACTGCGCGTGTTTGTCCGTGTGTGTGTGTGTGTCTGCATGCAATTCAAGAAAATGCAAAGAGATAAATGCATGTATAATTGAATTCTAGAAATGATGGCAAGAAAGAGAAGAAATACAGCACAAATTAAGTACAACGCCACATTTTCTGTATTCAGCTCAGCCCAGCCCCTTCATTGTTGGGCATTCTAATTTGTTTTCTGGCTTTTGTCTCTTAACTGTTCTTAAGATGGTTGAGTAGAAGCTCAGCTGGAAGCTGTTGTTTTGCATTTTCTACTCTAGTAATTGTGCATTTGTATTCCCGAAAGCAAAAAGGAAGTAGTCATTTCCGCTTCTCTCTTTTAAACACTTACTGGAACCTAGGATTCATTAATTTTTCATTATTGCGCTACTGCAGCATTTTACATAATAAATCAGCTACAAAGTAAAAGGATTTCGAATGAATTGGAGTTCCATTCAGGATAATTGAATGGGATAGTGAACACTTGTTTACCTGTAATGATGTTCTCTACAACAAATAAGTGCACCTAATCTTTTCGAGTTAAACACTTTTTCAGATTTTACTTAATGGGAAACGCTGGCGTTTGCAAGTTAGAGAGATTTACTAAGACGCTGAAAAACTTACACCTTAGTGAATACCCCCATTCTATGTTGTATTTTGGTCATAAAAAAGTCATAAGAACAGAGTGTAAAGACTAGAATTTTCAGCGAAACTGACTAAACTCTGTTTAAGTCAGTAAATCGACAAGCTGTTTTCATCCAGATCGGATGGAGTTTGGCCGCAAGCGGAGGGATTTTAGGTGAGATGATTAATGTCGTCGGGGTATCTTGTTCAAATTGGATCGACAGCCTCACGAAGCACCCAGAGCTCATAGTCTGCGCTGGTTGGTATTTGTCTCCGAAGAAGGAATTCAAGCGGCTACTCTTCGAATAACTGGGCAACCAGTATATATCGTCGTTTGAAGTGCAAAACCGCGTGCGAAGATAATGCAAAACCTCGTATGTGTAGTTGCGCAAATTTTATCGGAACGAGTAAATCTGTCTTATCTCGAAACTGTTCTCTCTTTACCTCTAATTAGCTCGAAGAAGAAAACAATCGCTGGTAGTGAAAATGTGTAAAACTATCGAGGAAGTTACTTCTTTGAACATGGTCTGTCTGAGAGCTTAAGATCGAAATATTCGTACCGCACAAGATCAAACTAGCACAGAAGCTCAAAGCTAACCTACAACTGCACACCAATATTGATCGCAAAGTGATTTGTAGCGACGAGGTACATTTTTGCAAGCATGCATATGGGGCGAGATAAACCCAGTTATTATTAGTCGATACTTTCTCGAAAAATACTTTCGTAAGATGGCAGCCTTGCAACGAGGCACATCAAGATGCTAGCTTTCTCTTACTTACTCGCTTACTATACCCGTAAAAGCATCTTCAGCCGAAACTAAATATGTATCTTTCATTATTTAAATAATTTTTATATAAATTAATGAAAATTCCAAGACAAATTTAGCAACACTGCCTTGTTCTTATTTTTTCTCTTTAATAAGTTTTTTTTTATTTTAGATTTTTTAGAAAAATATATTCTGAATTTTTAGAAACTCATTTTATTTCTCATTGGTTAAGTTTAATTTAATTTAATTATTTTTAAATTTTTAGATTTTTTTGTTCAAAAAAATATTTTTTGTGTAATTTTCTTCTCTTATTTTTGTTCTCTCATTTCATTTTTTTCTTTTTTGGTTTAATTTGTTTTTAATTTTTTGACTTTACTGCATTAAATAGAAAACTACAAATATATACATATGTACTTTTAATTTCATTGCTTACAAATTTTTTCTTTTTCTTTTTAAAATTAATTTTCTATAAAGTTTTAGATTTTATCGTTTTAAATTAAATGAAATTTTTTAAGTTACAGTTAATATTTAGAAACTTATTTTATTTGTTTCTCTTTCCGTATAATTTTCTTTTTCTTTTTATAATTAAGTTTTAAGATTTTATTGTTTTAAAAAGAATAAAAAATATTTCTTTTGTATATGATTTTTAGGCACTTATTTTATTTATTGTATTTAATATTTTACTTTTGATGTAATTTTCTGTCAGTCTTTAATATGTATTTTTTAAAACGAAAAATATTTTTTGTTGTAATTTAATTTAATTTTTATATAAGTTTGTTTTTAATTTTATTACTGTTTCTTTTTTAATTTAATTAAATTTTCTATTTTTAACAAATTTTAAGATTTTATTGTTTTAAAAAGGACACAATTTTTGTTAATTACACTTAATTTTCAGGAATTTATTTGGTTTTATAGTTATATCACAAAGGACAATCTTACATTGTCTAAGTGAGTTCCGGTTACACGGGGCTGCCACCTTACCTAGTTATATATGTTTTTATAATTTTATTTTTTATTTTTATTTTTATATCTTTAAAAAGAACAATATTTTTGTTTTTTAATTTAATTTAAATTTTTATATGAGTTTATTTATTTTCCCCTTTTTATTTAAATTTTTTTATTTTTTTATTTGATTTATACTTTTTCTTAACTTTAACTTTCAGAGAAGTTATTGCTAAAAGATAAACAGAACAACGCTAAGACCTTCTTCCAGTTTCCCATTTCTAAGCACTTGTGGCCATTTTAGATTTCAAAATTATCAGGCTTAGTTCAGCAATCAAGTTTATAGGCAAATTCTCATCAACTCAAAAAAAAATAAATAAACGCATAATAAATAAAAAATACATACATACATATGTAGCAAACGATTTACAAAGCACAAAAACAAAATAAAAACTGGCAATCCAATTTAAAACTAAATCAATTTGTTCCGTTTCTATGCCATACGATATAAAATTAGATGCAATTTCAATCAATGAAAACGATATCTGCGATACGTGCATTAAAAATTGAAATTTTAATCAAACTGAAAATACGTTGACGTCGGTAACAGCAGTGGATGTACGCAATTAGCGGCTTTACTGTAATCGCTGCCAACTGTCTGTTTATTGGCAACAAACCGGTTTAGCAGTATTTGTATGCTTTAGTTTTGCAGGTGTGTTAGTTTGTTTGATTTACTCGAGTATCCTTTGCAATTGCCATTTTAGTGCCATTTAGTTTACTGCAGACTGGAATTAGTATTTTAGTTGAGTGATTTTGCTCTTTTAGTTTATTTGCACAGCAAAGAGCCAAACAAAGAAAAATGAAAAAAGGAGTAACATACAAATCGCAATTGTTCAATGTAAATAAAAAATAATGGAAGGTTGAAGTGATGCACAGAAAAAAAAGACGGAGAAAATCTGTTAATGAAAGGTACATAAGCAAATAAGTAGTTGAGTAGCGGAAAAATTAACACTTTTGTTTGTCCAGGGCTGATACAGAACTAGCTAGGTATGTATGTAGTTGGTTTAGCAGCAGAAGAATTCGTGTTTAGTATGTGGGCACGTAAGTAGCAGAGGGTAGTTGTCCTAATGGTAAATTTTTGCATGCTGTAGTATTTGCTTGTTGAGGTAGACTGTGCTCATTTGTTGTTATTTATTTATTTTGATGCTGTCCATTTGGCTGTTTTGTGTTTGAAGTTGTCTTCTCTCCCCTTGCGATACAGTTGGCTGGACATCTATCTTGGCAATACTAAGTTCCAACACTCGTTGACACTAAATTACCACTCGAGCTAGTTTATTTGTCTCAAGATGAGCACATAAGCACGTAAATTTAGTCAACATTAAGCGAGGATGTTCACAGATGTTCCAGCTAAACTACTTTACAACGACTATTCGGGGATTAATTTGAGCGATTTATGTGTGATTGACATACATATAGGTATGTATGTATGTATGTATGTACAAGTATACTTAAGTGTGAGCTTGTGTGGTTTACGATATTTATGAACGCTTTTAGCCATTTCATTAAAGTTTTGATTGTAGTCAGTGCGGAGATGGTGTAGGGGTGTGTAGCGCCACTTCCATTAACAACGCCAGTCCGCCGGTCGCTCTTTTTACTAATCCACAATTTTTTAAGGTAACAACTTGGCGTCGTTTTTAAGCATTGCCCTAACTTGTTGTTAGTGTTGTTTTAGCGCGTGTGATATCTTTTAATAATTTTATTTAGTGCTGTTGTTTTCTTTTTTTTAAATTAATTTTACCGGGTCAAGTAGTCAAAAAGTTCAAGCGATAGTTTAGAGTAGTACGCAATTTTTAATTTGCAAAGTTTTATAAAATCAAGAATTCTTTTTGGAAAAACCAAAAACCAAAAATTATCTAAAATAAATACTATCTTGCAGCACACACATCAAAACTAGCTAACATTGAAGAGAATACAAATAGCATTAGTAGATAGTATTAGTATTAGTAGTAGCATCAATGTATTGAATTAGTATTGGTATTAGCAGTAGTATAGTAGTAGTAGTAGTAGTAGTAGTAGTAGTAGTATTAGTAGTACATAGTAGAGAGGTGTTAAGAAGAATCGAAGTATTGTTTTCAATATTTTGTTATTTATTGTTTTATTTTTTCTTATTTTTTGGTTTGAGTGCGTTTCCGTGAGCATTCTTTTGCACGGTGCTGTAGTGTAACATTCCTCTTGAATGCGTTTTTTTTTAAAGGGTTGAGTATGTTTTTTTTTATGGTTTAGTCTTGTTCAAAAATTAAAATAAATATTTACTTGAAAATTCTGCAACTTACTTGTAAAATCGTCCAGCTCTTCCTGTTCCGCTTCGGCAGCCAACTCTTCGGGCGTCTTTTTCTTTCGCATCAGCGGATTGGGTTCTTCTTGGGGCATGGCTTCGACAACTTCCTCTTTTTTCTTGATGTTGTACTAAAATGAGCATAGAAGAAGTTGAATATTAGTTCAATAGGCCTTCGGAAAGGGCCTTAAGGCGATGAGAAATTACTATAACTCAGAAAAAAAAAATAAGTTTTGAGAATCACAAATTCATTTGCTCTACAGAAATCTTTTAAAGAGCCATCTCATATGCTTTGTTACTTGCCAAATTTTCACCACTACATTATTCTGGCATACGCCGATGACGAGTTCGTAACGAGGCGCACACCTAATATGTACAGAAATAACTTTTGCAGCTTTTTTTTTAACTTTGTGCTAAACATGATTTGAAGTAACGCCGCGGTGTACTCTTAAAAATGAAAGCAGAATTAGCGGCAAATATTTTAATATGGAAATCAGCGAGAAAGGCTTTGAGAAAGCTGTTTCTATTTCGAAATATTTTTAACCAGGGTTTCCACCTGCTCAAAAATTAAAATCAATTTAAGGTACAAGAAAGCTTTGTTGCGAAACCTGTAGGATAAAGCTTTGTTTAAAAAATATGTTTAAATAGAGTTGCCACCTGGTTGAAAGTCAATTTAAATTAGATAATTAAATTAAATGCAACATCACAATGTTGCCAAGTCAAAGAAGTTTAAGAAGGCTTATATCGAATATATTTTAAAAAGAGTTGCCACCTGTTTAAAAGCTTAATAAAATTTAATCAAGTTAATTGAGCTTAATATCACAATATAGTTTTATAGTTTTATTTCGAAGGTCGTTTCAAGTTGCTAAACTTTAATTTAATGAAATACTGAATTATGGAGGTCAAATGAAATAAAAGTGTGTCTGTCACCTGTAGAACTCACTATCGAATTGCAAAGTCAAAAATAAATATCAGTGATGACAGGTGTGTGCCTGACGCGCTTTGTTGAACTCGGTTAAAATCGATTAGGCGCTTACAAAGCCCAAGAAGAAGAGAAGAAGATGATAGTAAGTTCAAGATGGGTTTTAACACCAAAAATTACTTTTTGTGAAAATTGCTGATAAAGAGTATTGAATATAAGCCCTCGATTTGTTGACGGAGATTTCCATTACTCAATAGCTTAAAAAAACTACTGCTTGATTTTCCTTGCTGAGATATTTACAGATATTTTAATATAATTTCATTACCTTATCCATTCTTACGGATTGTTTATTTTTATTCTCTCCCGACTCTTCAAATAATTTTCAAATCGTTTATAAAATTTTATTTTTTAGTACATTGTGACTAAAATGTTACACAATGTCTAAAGGGAAATAAAAGTTCAGCAAATATAAGTATGGACATAGATTAAGTTTATTTGAAATCCTCATTAGTCCGAAAAGAAAATAGCTTCTCAAATTTTCAATTTCTGACTTCAAAAAAAAAAATAACTGTTACTATATTTTTTTGCTACCCTATCTTATTACAACCAAAATGTGTCTACCCTTCCTGCTGCAACTTTTCCTGCGACACAAATTGAATTACATTACAAATCGAGTAAACGACGAGTGACATCCAAGTGGTATTTTCCAAACGTTTAAGAGCTGCGCTTAGGTATACAATCAGAAATTCGTTGAAGTAAATACATATCAATTACTAGTATTTACATATATAATATCTACATATGTATGTATAAACTTATATAACTTTCTATATTCAGGTAAGACTCTTCGTTGTTTTCTCTTTGTCATCGTTGCGGTAATGTGATTGTGCATTTCTTGAATTCAATTTGACTTTGACTTTTGATTCCACTGCTTGCCAGTTCTTGCATTCCGGCTTGATCTCGCGCTTTTTCTGTGCCCAGGGGGGAAAAATATGTATGCACATGCATAAGGAGATATGTGCTTTATTTTCTTTATTTTATCTTCAAAATGTCAAGCACTTTCATCTGCAGCAATATTTGTGAGTACTTTTCTTTACAGGTATCTACATATATGTATGTATGTTTGCGTGTCACTTTGTTATGATTGATTTCATGGTCAGTATGCCTGTTATTCCTCTGTGGCTGAATGCCATTTCCGTTGCTATTATCCTTTAAGTTGCCATAGTTGTGGTATGTCTGAGGTCTTAGCTTTAAGGTACGATAAGTACTTTTACGGTATTACGCATACTTTTACTTTCAACTGTGCTTAGCTTAGAATCCATGTCAAGCGTACTTATAGAGAATTTGGTTGACATGTTTTGGAATATGCTTAATCCAATGTTCATACTTACATGCATGAAAAAGCTTTATAAGCAAAAATTTTAATCTTAAGGGAATTTCTTTGAATTTTTGTAGTACGTATTTAAAATAATTTGTAGCATTATTTATGTAGTATTTATTAAAGATTTTTAAATAAAACAGAGTACCGGGAATTTTACCAGCAAAATTTTGCTAGTTATGTGAATTTAGAAATATATATATATGTCTTATATATTAATAGGCAGTCATTTTTCCTTTACATCCCTTTTACGGCTTAACTATACTTCTAAGGTATAAACAATTGTATATCATTTGAAAGATATTTTAATGCTGATGTGCAGACAATTTTTAAAATTTCAATTTAGTTTAACATAAAGCGAAAAATGCATTTCAAAGGTGGCACCAACACCAATGCTACACGTGTACATGAATTATAGAAACGTAGCAGCATTTTGGGAATAAAATGTAATTATGTACATCAAACAAGGAAGAAGGTAAAGTTGAGTATGTAGAACAATACTGGGCACACCAACACTGTCTCATTCTGTCGTGGTATTAGAGCGTCGCGCTCAGTCCCTGCTAAAATCGCGACTATTACAAGCATGTATGTAAAGAGTACTCCCTAAGGACCAAGGAGTACTCCAAAATTAACAAGAAATACAGATTTTTGGGGCTTTAAATTGAAATTAGAATAATTTAGCAACATTTTTCAAAGATTTCCACTGTCGAAATGAGTTTATAACTAAGTGGCACTTTTTTCCTTTAATATGATTAGATGTAAAATATTAAAAAAAAAAATAATTGTATGAAAAAAGACTTCAGCGACATTTTTTTAAAATTGTATTTTTGATACTCTGGAAACATTTCTGCAACAAAACTAGCTTTTATTTTTTTTTTTTAATTTATCAGCCATTCAAACTGATTTTTTCAAAACAAAATTTGTGTGTTAAAGGGCAAATAAATTTTAAAACCTACTTGAGAGAACAGTTTTAAGTTTAAAATTGTTTATCTTGCTTTTTTAATTTTTGAATGATTTGGAAAAATTGATTCTGAAACTGAAAAGTACCAGGTAGCATGCGATGCTTTAGAGAAAATTTAAAAAAACAAAATAGCAATTTTTTTTGAAAATTTTCAAGGCCAAATTCGTCTTCAGAGCAAAACAAACTTTAATTATTACCACTAGGTATTCTTGAAACTAGAAAAAGTGAAATTTTCAGTTATTAAGAAAAATTTAAAAAATGTGTCTTATATTTGGGCAATTTCTATTAATGCATACTTTAAAAAGTACATAAATATGTATTGTTATTGAAAAGTAAAACGAACTCAGAATTGTTTTTAATGCTCCACTTTTCCCAACATGGATTTTTATATTTACATAAATACCTATAGGTACACAAGCGTACACACTTAAACCCGCCTTTTAATGTCAACCAAGGTTGTTTGTTGATTGTATTTGCTTTTAATGCGCAATAAATAGCGATGGCGATGGTGCCACTTGATAACCTTATCGCCAGTCAACATCAACATACATACATAACTCACTTTGCACGCCGCACAACTCAGCATTTATAACATCGGCGGCGGAGCGGCGTCTCCCTCCACCAACTACAATCCCATGCCTTGAGTACGACAAAATCCTTTGGACAGATTTGAATCTAGCTGCATAGTGAATAAGTATGTATGTACATTTTTGCCTGAATACCAAACCACTGGTAGGTGTGACAAAGGTTGGCATTGTGGGGGACAGCTTGACACTTTCTTACAACACTTTGCACTTTTACTCAATCAATGCCAATGATTTTGTTTTTTTATATTTGCTGGTATCGTTTTTTTTTTGTGCTTACTTTGGTAGCGTGTTGCCCCTTTGAGTTTAATGTTTGTACTTTAAAAAACAGTTTTTCACTTTAATTTACATATATATATTAAATTTAAATTTCTAACCTTGAGTTCGAGATGAAAGCAAAAGGGGTCGCCTTAATTGAATTAGAAGCTAGCGCTGTTCAAGTTTGAGACTACAATGGTTTCCAAATAGAGAAGAATGGATCCATCAGTGGCAGGTTGTCCAATATCCATCTATTGTGATCATTTTGGGTTGGGGTAAGGAGCCGATGTTGGTCTTTACTCTGCCAGTTTTTTTTCATTTGCGCAACATTAGGACAATTAGTCTTCTATACTTAATAGTGTGGTTGTAGCTGGAAAAGCAATTAGCTTCATCGGTACCCAAGCGACTTTGAAAGCGATAAGATACAAAGCAATGAAATCGAGAATTGGGCCATCTAAAAATCGTTTCTTTCTGGGATCGCGACTTAGAAATGTCGAAGGAAAAACGGCAGCTGAAGAGAACGGCCAGCATATCTCTGGGAGAATACCAATGGAGAAAATAGCTTTCGAACACAGACCGTCTACAGACCGGCTTGCCGACATATAAAAACATTGCATTGCATTGCATTTTTGACCGTCTGCAGACGGGATTGCCGGTTCGTAGGTCAACATTGTGTAAGAGAAAGCTGAAAATATGTGCAAGTATATCGGCGAGCCCGTCTCCAGATGGTCTTGGTTTTTCTCCCCTGTAGAAAAAGGTTACTGTCACAGATCGAAATGGACATCATTTTTGGATTTCAACCATTCCTGAATTTATCAACTCATAAAAAAATTTGCCTACTAGAGGGTTAATGAGGCAGAAAATACGATAGAAATACGATACGATGAAACTCCTAAACAGTTTGTATTCGAACGGAAGTGTGAAACTCCCAACCTAGTCTAGTTATCCTTTTACTATCATTTGAGAGATTAAAGTTGCGGTTTAACAGTTTTACAGGTTTTAATCCGAACGGTTAACGTTCAAAGGAA